CCACCCAGCCCCCTCCCAGGGCAGCACACACACTTATCTCAGACAATTTGTTCTCAGTGTCTGCACCTGCAGAAGGAACGCAACCATAAACAGCTTGAAACTTGGCTTTGAGAAATCTTAGGGCCTGAGCAGCTAAGAACAAAGTTTAGTTTCATCCGAAGCAGGTCCCTGGGAGGAAGACTAGGTGCCATGCCCCCTGGTACGGAGGAGGGAAGAATGGGGGGAGGGGGAGTAAGAAGAGGAAGGTGAGGGGCAGGGCAAGGGGGCAGAGCCGCCCAGCAAAACCAAGGACACAGGGCTGCTACGCGGATTCTGCTGCCCTGCAGCACTGCCAAAAATAAACGCAAGAGACACACCCTTTTCATTTCTGAACCAAGTCACAGAATTCTAGGCAGTAGGCAGACGCCTTCCACGCAGCTGCACATCCAACAGGCTCCCTGGGTGCACAGCGCCCAGCGGGCCGGCTGCAGAGTGCGTTTGCAGTGCAAGCGTGTTGCAGACAGCAGTAATTTATTTATCCCTGTCATGTAACATTAGCAATCTGTCTGGAGCTTGGCAAGCACCAACTTGCACTGTCATATAAACTGTCTGACAAACTTAAAGTTTCATAAATGCTTCTCTTTTCCAGCAGACAATAAAGCATCATAAAAAAAAGCTGTCATCTCCTTTTCTGTTCCTTTTCTCTCTTCCTCTTCCAAAAGAAAAGAAAAGAAAGAAAAGGAACAAAAAGAAAGAAAATCAACAACAAAAGAATCCATGCAAACAGAAATGATCCCTCAGCAGGATTCTTAACCTTGAAAGTCTCAACATTTTTCCAATGCCAAGTAAATGAGTAAATAAATGGATGGGGGAGGAGGATGGAATGGTGGGGGTCAGTCGTGAGCGGGGTACGGAGCAAAATCTGCAAAACAAAAGTACAGTCATTAAAAATTAATAAAGGGTGTGGACATCAGCTCCCCACCCCCTTCTGCTCATGGGGATTTGAGCCAGACATTCTGCATCCTCATTAAGTGGTGTCTGGCAGGCTGCCGGAGTTTTAGTGGGTTCTGGGAATGCCAATATATTAACCAGAGGACTTTTTGCATACCCTTTAGAGATTTTATTCTAGAAAAGTCAACCATTTGGCACAGCGCAGCCTTATTTTTGTCCGGGAAAGCTCTCAGCTGCCAATCAAGGGAGAAATTATAGCTATGTTCTTCGTAATTTCCAAGACCTATCTGGAAAACAAGTTTGGTGGAAAGAAAAGTCCTCACAAAAACAGCTTAAAAGGCCAAAAGTACCATTTTTAGTGGGAATTCAAAGAAAAGCAATCCATACTTAAATCACAAGGATATGAGATAACACAAACATTATTTTCAAGTCTTCCTATGATAGAGAAAAAAGCAATATTAATTGGAAATATGAACCAAACGTCCCTGTAACAATTAATAATACAGGTGCTCGCCTGTTTCTTCAGTTGCCTAACAATGAGGCAAATAACACCACAAAAAAAATATCTCCCTAAAAAGTGGTAGGTCAGGTGGCCTACATTTTCAAATGATAGGCAGAAGCTTTACATTCCTATTTTAAAACTTAAGATTCACTTCCCATGCACACCTATAATATAGGTCAAGGTGTAATTCTAGACTAACAAATCCCATGTAAGCAGAAAGTCACTTTGACATCAGAAAATCATGGCTTCCAGGAGTTTTCTGAGACCCAAAAAAGGAAGAATTGAAAGGAGGAAGGGAAGAGGGGAAAAAGGGAGGAAGGAGCAATTTGGGACTACATAGCAATTTTGCCACTGTTGACATTTAATAGGCATGTGTTAAAGTATGTTAAACACTTCTAAAAATTTTCCAGGTTGACATAGGCTGGTCTTTTATAGCCATCGCTCCTAGAGTTCGCTTTATTCTCTATTAACTCTTGCCCAAAGGACAGACACTGCACAGAGACTCCATAAGCCTAGATTCAGAAGAAAGATGAGAAGAAACATGGCAAGGGATACCAGAAAGATCTGACCAGTCACAGCTGCAAGTGTTCCTGCCCCAAGCCCTGAGAGTGCTTGGGGTTTACACGATGACACAGAGCAATCACCTCCTGCCCAGACAGTCTCTACTTGACCGCAGGCCAGAAATACCCTGAGAGCAAAAGTCACTCTCGCCTCTCCGGGTTCCCTGTCAGGCTGGGAGGTGCCCCTCCAGCAGCCCAGATAAAAAACAGACAGTGTCCCATGAACTGCAAGGCTGCTCTGCCAGGCTGCTAAGTCAACCAAGACAGCAGCACAGTCCCAAATTGTAAACACCTCTGCAGACAGACGGGTCCTTGCTCTCAGCACGCCAGGCAGGAAAACTATTCTTAGAACACTGTCAGCAGTTAGGGGAAAATAAATATTTGTCTATGTATGTATATACTCTGGTTGGAGAGAGGGGTGGACTTTGAATCTCAAATGATGTGCCAACAAATTGGCACAAAATCCCTTAATAAGCAGCTGGCACTGGCTGGGTTCCTCTGCAGGATTATTGTCATGCAAACGGAGCCCCAAAGAGGATTCAAGAGACATCCCTAAAATCCTGCTGGGGAAAGACTTCTCCATGGTAAATACAAACCTACACGAACTAGAACCATGGCCAACAACAGCACATTCTTCCAAGGGTAACAGCAGAATGTTAAGAAATTAGAGAAGTCTCTTAAAACAAGGGAGGAAGGTAGCTATAACTCCATTACAGCAAATCCCTTACTGGCATTTACAGTCTCAGCCCTAATTCCTAACAGTGTGTTCAATGTCAATAGCAAAGTGAAGCTCTTAAAAGAATTAAGCTTTCAGAGATCATGAGGAATTTACCCCCACTGTTATGCAAGGGCCATCAAATGGCATTGAAGGGTTGATAGCAAACCCAAATTATAATTCAACAAATGTACACGGGTAGTATTCAGATCTACTCATTTGTCTTTGTAATGACTCAAATTTGACATTATGATCCTTTACTGAACATAAAGAATATGTTCCAAGAGAACTGTGCAGAGTACAAAGGCAGATGTAGAGATGACAGTAAACCCAATATTAAGAAGACAATATTAAGAAGACAAGAGAAGACAACACATTCATATGCAAAATGCAGAACATGACTTGATGCAATGGCAGTTTCTCAGTGCAGACTCTACAGAACCTTTGCTGTAATCCAATACTCAGTCCTGAAGCTCCAGGGGAGATACAAAAGGGAGAATACCTTTCTTGGCTAGCAAAACAAGGGGAAAGAGCCATTTTAAAGGGACGTTTCCTAGCCCTAGCCCTGAGGGAAGGCACCAACCTCCATGCCAGCCACAGGACCTATATATTTTTAAGAGCCAAGACTGCTCACCATCTCTACCCACCTCTACTGCAAGAAACTTAGTAACAGTAGCCCTCAGAATCAACCTTTTGTACAGCTTATCTCGTTTCACATCCCACAATGCCTAACACTTAGTAGGTCATCAACAAATATTTATGACAATCGTAATTAACATTTAGAAAGCGGCACTGAAACATAAGTGAGGGATGAGAAGTTGCCAAAATAATTAGAAGAGAAAAAGAGAAGGGAATAGATGGGACACAGAGGAAAAGAAAAGAAGCAAATCAAAATTACCCAATTCTAGCTAATTAAAAGACTCTTCGGGGAAAACAAAAATTAAGCTAGTTTATGTGCCCATTGCCACTCAGCAATCATTCCAATGCCTGGGTAGGAGCGAGGAAGCCCTGCTTGCTTTAAAGAGTTTCTCCCTGTCCTGACCCCGCAGCGCGGTGACCCGCCAGCTAACCCGAGAACCAGGGCACTAGCAGATGCGCCTTCCCCAGGTGCCACCCACCTACCACGCATCCTTGTCGTCCTTCTGAAAACCTCTGCCTCAATGGGAAGCCTCCTTCTTTTCCAATTAAAAAAAAAAAAGTTTAAAAACAAGCAAATGCTTTCTCCGCCACCACAGCGAATTAACCTGAACCCACGGTCTTCCAGCAGCTTACTTACAGGGCGCGCCCCCAACCCCAAGCCGGGCGGCGCGCCGGGCACGGGTCCCGGAGAAGCTTCCTCCCCGCCGTGCAGGGCAGACCCCACAACAAAGGCAAGTGCCGGGCCCAGGCTGGGTGCTCGTCGCTTCCTGTTTATTCCTCCGTGAGGGTCAAAGAGAAATTCAACACACGCCTGCTTCCTCCGGGGCTCGGAGACCCAGCCTAAGAGTAACAGCAGCCGCCCGAGACAATCGACTTCCCAGCCAACGCCGGGAGCTCCAGGCGGCCCCGAGACCGACGTCAACGCGCGTGGGGGGACCCGGGCAGACGCCGGGTGAGGCGGGTCCGAGGGGCCGGGGCGGGGGAGGCAGGATGCGGGGTGCCGGGGCGCAGAGCCGCGGGGCTGCGGGGTGCCCGGCTGCAGGACGCAGCGCACAGGGTACGGCCAGCTCCCGCCCCCTTTTCTTCCCGCAAACTCCCCGGCAAGGTCCTGCACGATCTTCCCGCCTCCCGCTGACCTCTAGTCCCCCCGCCTGCAGTGGTTCATCGAGAGGCCCAAGGGAACTGAGACTGCAGTTTGGGCAGCCACCCCCACGGTCACCCCGGCCTCCCCGTGGTGCAGGATCAAGTCCTGCAACCGCGGGACAGCCAGCGCTGAGGCACCGGGAAATAGAAAACGGGGTAGGGGTCGGCAGCGTTCCTCCAGCAGAGCATACCCGCAAGGGCGGCGGGGCCGCGGTTCGGGGGGTGCGGGGACGCCCTCCCCACACCCGCCTCCAGGCGAGCGCCTTGCCCACCGGCTACACCGCCTCACAGACCTCGCGCACTCGTCTCCAGGGGACTCGCCGGGGTGGGGAGGGCGCACAGTGCCGGGCCGCTCCCTCCAGCCCCCTCCGACGGCGCAGGCTCGCGGACGTCCCGTTCCCGGAGCGTCCTGTCCCCGCGTCCCCCGCCACCCCCCTCCCCCGGCCCCAGCGCAGCGCTGAACTTGGGCCAGACGCCGCGACCACAGCAACCACCTCGGGTCCGCACTCACCTGCGGCTGCCCCTCCGGAGCGGAGGCGGGGACCGCCCGCAGTGCGGCTCGCGGGGCCACCTAGTCCTGCTGGCCGCGGGGGAGGGGCGCGGGGGTGCGGGCCGCCGCGGCTGGGGGCACGCAGCGGGCCGGCGGGGAGCGCGGCGCGGCGCGCCGGGTCTCTTTAAGAGCCGGGGATCTTCACCCGGGCCTCCCCCGCGCTCCCCGCCCCCCTTTCACTTTCCCAGGGACTCGCAGCCTGTCTGGCGGCGGCGGCAGCGGCGGCTCCTCCCCGGCTCGCAGGGGATCCCCGGCCGGCCGCGGAGGCGCGCGGGGCGGGCAGGGCCAGCCGCACTCGCCCGCCTGGCCCGCCGGGCCCTGCCCGCAGCCTCCGGGCGGGGGAAGTGGGTAGACGGTGCTGCGGCCGCCGAGGGAGGTGTCGTGCCTCCAGTCGCCGGAGGGGGGGAGTGTCCCGCCTCCCGCCGCCGCCGCCGTCTGTCTCCAGCCGTAACTGTGCTCGCCGAGGCTGTGTCTGTCTCCAGCAACTCCAGTCTCTCCTCCCTCCCCATCCCCCTCCTCGGCGGGGACCCGGCCTGAGGCCAGGCCGCGGGGGCGGGGGCCGCCCTGCTGGCTGAGGGGTGGGCCGGCGCTGACCCCGCGCGCACAGCCCGCACCGACCTCTGCAGGCTCCGGGCACGGAGCTGGGGGCGTGCGGGCGCCGAAGCCGGGGGACCCCAGGGCTCAGCGGGGCCGGCCGGCTGTGCACACGGCAGAGGGCTCGGCCTCGCGGGGCGCGCGCCCACCGCCGGCCGGACAGGGAACTCCAAGTGCCGAGAGACGTCAGGCTGGGGCGCCCGGAGAAGCCGGCTGGTTCAGCGCACCACCTACCTCGCGGGCTACGTGCGCTCATCAGGCAGCAGGCCTTCGGATACCAGCCCCAGACACACAGTAGGGCTGCAGGACACTTAGTGGGATGGATGAATCCGCAGTGAGCCAGCCCCGCAGGGCTCCTCCTGACCCCACGTGGTCACCCCCTTAGGATGCCCCCCCTCTCTAAGGGAAATGGCTCCAGACTGGAAAGTCAGATGGATTCTTCCCGCCACGACCCTTTCTCCTTGAAGGACCTACATCCCTCCTCCTCTGAAGGCTGCTTCGGACTTGAACTCCACTTGAGTGCAGACAGTATGCATTTTGTCTTCCAGAAGAACTAGCATTGCCATCAGCCAATGTAGCTAAGTTTGATAGGGGTTTGGTTACTGCCATAACATATGGACATTTTAACCCAATTTTATTACAGTCACCCAAATTGGACAAATTCCGCTCTGCCAAAATTATCCCCCCTGCGGTAATACCAAAATATACTAACCTGAGGTTTCAGGCAGGGCCTAACAGAGGTGCAGCCAAGTAAAGGGGTAACAATTTTCAACCTCTCCTCTCCAAAACTGACCGGCTCATACTTCCATAATACCAGAGACAATCTTTTGAAATCTATGATTAACTCGTCAGTAACTGCTTTGTTAGTGAAATGTTGGCATAATTCCACTTCCTCTAAAGAGCCAACTATCATGGTAATTGCTATGTAGAATTTGATCGGTGCTCATATGTAATATAATAATAACTAACATTTATTGAGAGCAATATGCCAAGCCCTGTACTAAGTACTTTACATAGATTGTCTTATTTATTCCTCACAATAACTGTGGCAGCTGTTACTTCCTCATTTTACAGATGAGAAAGTTGAGGCCATGAAAGATTTAGTAACTCGTCCCCAGACCACAAAGAGACGGGTTTTAAAATGCCTAACTGGCGACATATAAAGCGGGGAGTTGAACCATACTGCCACCTACCTACAGTAGCTTTGACATCCAGTTCAGCTGAGCTCAGCCCAGCAAGAATTGACACCATCTGCTCTATGCCAAGCCCTGTGCAGGCGCCAGTCTAGAATGCCCAGGTCTCAGGCTAATGGGGGAGCATTTAGACTAGTGGGGCAACTTTGAATCTGGCTGCTAGGGTAAACTTTTTCACATAATCGGTGAGCTGATAAGTGCTTAATACAGGTTATCTGAATCTGACAAGCATATACTTGTGAGTTTATATTTAATGTACATGAATGCATACCACACTAATAACAGCTCACATGCTATGGGGTTGAAGAATTGTGTTCTTACCCTCTTGGGGTAGAAAGAGAAATGGCTTTTTCCTTCTAAACCAGAAACTGCCCATGGACAGTGAAGAAGAAAATGTTTTTTCCAAGAACACGAAACAATTTGTTCTTCTATTTCAGTTGTGTGTGATCTCCTTGTGTATAATTTAACTGTTTTAAATTGAGAGCTGAATTTTAAAATCTTAACTTCAATTTTCCCATTTATGATGAATCTTAATCTTGCATTGCCTTTTCTTATTGTCTTCCATAATTTATAACTAGAAACTGAGGATCCATATTTCCATTTCTAGGAAATAGCTATGGAAGGAAACTTTGCCTTCGTTCTCCACTCTGTCCTCCCTGTACTTGTTTTCCATTTCAGCTGTTCTCTTCCATACCCCTCCAAACACACACACACACACACACACACACTCGTTACAGCAATGGGAGAGTTGGAGGCACTTGGATATATGTTTGCTCTCTGTAAAATTCAACACAATCGTCTGTCAGCTTTACCCTGACCATTAGTAGTCTGTTGCATTCACTCCAAGGGCCCAGACTGAAGCCCAGGAGAGCAGGGCTTTGTTCTGCTCAAAATAATGGAGAATGTGTATCCTCGGCACACAGAACTGTGCCTGACACTCACTAACGGGTCAAGAGATATTTGTGGAATAAATGGAACCTCATATTGGGATGGACAAGTAAATAATATTGAGGTAAAATATCACCAAATTTAGTGGAAATCAACTGAAATTTGTTTCAAACAGTGGGACGTGAGAAAAATTCTCTCTCAGTATAAATCCATTACAGTTTACCTAGGATAGATTATATTCCAACCATACTTAGTCCATTGAAGAAGGCCAGTCATCTAAGGAGACAAAAATAGAAAGGGTAAACTGAGCAAATGTTGAAAACAAAAGATTCTGAGGGCCCCAAATGACCACAAGATGAATGTGAGAATATCATTCTGTTATTTGGATCTCATGCATAACATTTAGATGAAACTTAAGCTATCCAGAAAGACAATCTATCCTACTCTTTGTACCTTTTAACTTAAGTAAGAAGTGGAGAAGAGGAAGTGAGAGAAGCTTGCATTGAGGGTAATTCTGCTGAGGATGTAAGAGCCCCAGTCTGGATAAATATATAGGACCAGAATCCACGAACAAGCTCACCTCCAGAGAGAGGTATCTGTCCCATATGCCTAAACGATGTCATGGGCACATTTCCTCATGTTACTCTGCACCATCGTACTGTCTTGGTGTTCAACCTGCAACCTGGAGATAATAATTCCTACCTCACAGTATCTGTTGTGAGGCTGGCCATATCCCCATCTACACACATAGACCCTCTCAGGGATCTGGCTGCCCCCACTGCTCCAGGACCCACAAACTTTGCTCCTCCTTCAATGCTCCTCCTTTAAAATCACAAAAGATAGAAAGGAAAATATTTTGCAGGTAGCTTCTGCTTTCAGCCTTCTACTCTCCTTGAGAAAAAAAAAAATGCAGTATCTGCTCTCTCTCCTTGAAGGGAAGGGAGTAAAGGAAAAGGAAAAATATAGCAAGAAAACAATGTAGATGATTACCTCAAAGATTATTCCTCCAGACACATTTATGAATGGTATCTATACATCAGTTAACAAAAATGATGGAACAATTCCTGACCAATGACTAATTATTTTCAAATCATTTACAAATATTAAGGAATAGTAAAGTCTCCTCAGTCTGTTAAGACCACAGCAGTTTACAGCTTCTGCTTCTTATGGTCCCCAGATGGCCCCCAAATTAACCCACACCCCTGCAGAGCATCTCAAGGCTCCCTGACCACTTCCTGAGCTTTGGGGCTCTCCCTCTGCTGCAGTTACCAGCAGCTGGGTGTAATTGACTGCTCCAGCCCCACCCTATGCTGTTGCTTTCTGACACATGGTCTGGTCAGCGCCTTCCTAGAGTATAAATTGTCAAGGAGTTCAGCATTTAGCATAGTACCTGGCCCAGAATGTACTCAATAAATATTAGCTTCCTCAGTCCTTTTCCTTGCCAGCAGGGACAGACTCTGTGATGACTTTGTACCATGTCAAATTATCCACACTGGATCTGCGCTTCCCAGAATTCGCTTCCTCTGGTGTTCCAGGTGCTGAAGTAAATTTCTAAGCTGAAGATAGAGCTGCTCCTGCCCAAGCTGCCCCATCAGCAAACTGAAACTTAGATAACTTTCATGTCCCTGCAAATGCTCTTCTTGTCCAGAAACACAGTTCCGTCACGCGCCACACAATGAAGTTTTGGTCAATAACAGACGGATTATAGTATTTGACAGTGCCTTCTTCCTGGGTGGTTGGGAGGGTAAAGTGGGTTGACGGAGAAGGGAGAACCTGAGAAACTCTTCCTCATGGATGGTTGGGAGGGTGAAATGGTTGATGCCAAATGTAGGTTATGACAATGCCACCACGCAGAGGTTTGGTGGACAATGGAGATTATGATGTTTTCCCCTTGGGGGGATGGGAGGGTGAGGGGGGCTGGAGGAAAACAGAGATTATGACCACGCCTCTCCTCACACGACCAGAAAGTGGCAGTAGTGGAGAGCATGTGGTGACTTGACCCCATGGGGCCCTGGGTAGGGTCTAAACAGGACCGATTGACCCACTTGGAATGGGTGGGATTGGGAGAACAGGGGGGAGCGCTTTCCGCTCTGAGGCTGGAAAGATCAGCAGGAGTCTCAACCAGGCGGGACACAGAGAGGCCTAGGATACCAAGGAGAGCCCTGCCCACACCCCGGTGTGATTGGCCCGTGAGGCTGCCTCTCTTCCGCCTTTTGGCCAGTCCCAGCTGACCCCCAGAGCCCTCACCTCAACCCCGTCAGTGCTGCCCAACGACGACCCTCAGTCTCTCTCCTAGGGTCCACCCACACCAGCAGCATCTAGAGACCACCTACCAAGCCCTGATGTGTTCCCCACCCATGGCCTAGCTGTGGTGGAGCCAACGAGGGGAGAGCCCAGACCCCTCGTGG